GCCGCGAGAAACCGGATCGAGGTCGCGACGATTCGATCGGACCTAAAGGTTGACTAGCTCCGGATTCTCTTTACCTCCGGGAATAGGATCGGCAGACGCGCGATTACGAAACTCACGATTTTACGAGGCCTTGACACCTGCGACTACATGGAACGTATTCTCGTCCCGATGTAGCGCGAACGACGAGCATCGTGGCCGCGAAAGAAAAAGTGCCGATTACGGCGAGACTCTCGCTGCCACGCCGAGGGGAACTCGTCGCGTGTTTTCGCTTCGTCTTTCTCGCTGCTCGGCCGCGAGATTTCGTGAAAGCGACTCGACTTCGTTTAGAATCTTCGGACTCGAGAATCTTGGACGATAAAATCGAATAGATGCAAGGAGGAAAAACTTTGAACGTTGGTAAACGGGACGGAAAGAAAGCGTGCGAAGGCGAGAGAACGAACCGGAGGAGTTTTGCGGCCGATTAAACTAGGCGAACCGGAGCGAGCGAGTACCGAACAAACGTTCGTGATCCGTGGAGCGTCGAGGAGCCGCGTATATCGAGTCGAGTTTGACTACGTGGTGTCCAGTTTTCACGGGTTGGTGGGGTGTGCTCCAGGTGGCCGTGGTGGGTGGCGTATAAGTAGAGGCCTGCGTTCGCCGCCGTTCTCATACCCTCACCACCGTGTCCTTCGACTACCTCTTACTTTTACTCCGTGCCTTTTTCCGCTTCTCTTTCTCTCCCGTTCCACGTTCATCTCGGCGAAGGGATCGACGAGCAAAAGATACGGGAAACGCGCGGATCGAACGTATCGATCGTCGACGGAGAGAGTAAAGCATCGGAGAGGATCGAGAAAATCGACGGTATCGAGAGAAACGAGACGATCGGTGGTTGCGGTTGGAAGACGAGCGACGTCTCGAGGAGAAGGCAACGATGATCGCGAGTGTCCGGTGACGATACGTGTTCTCTTATCGTTCGCAGTAGCTTCGTCGCGACACCGCACCGCGTCAATCTACGCAGATTTTCGCCTTTCCTCGAGCGTGTTTACGCGTCTCGACGGATCCCTGGACCTTAACCAGCCTCGCGCATCTTCGTCCTCGACCGAATCGACCAAGAGGGTATGGTCAGTGGAATCGCCGACATGTGGCTGAAAGGCGCGCTCCTGTGAGTACGAAATTAATCGGACTTGGTGGTCCT